CATCGCGGATCTTTCGCGGACACACTCTTTTACATGTTAAAACCGTTTTATATAATCCCCACACAAGGACCTTTAGATCAACGCTCATATTTTTGTTTGATCTCTCTCTCTCTCTCCCTCGCTCTCTCTGTCCACCATGCTTTCCTAACGCTGCAAGAGTTCCATCTACAGGATCGCGGCTTTCTGAGACGCCGACCGTGCAGGAGTAGTAGGCCACCAGTGCCTTCTCTGTGCAAACGCAGATACATGCAAGCACAGCTTCGCAGACTAGCCGACATGCGCACACACACACACAGAGATTGTCAGCGCCATTCTACGCTTTCGAGGCAGCCCGGATCCTCGATCCTGACTCTGTTCATGCTCAAGCGTGGAATTGGAACCGAGAAAAGCGGTGCAGAGAGGCGCGAGCAACCGGAGGGAATCTGCCAGGAGCGTAGGGAAGAAAGAAGAATCGGTTAGGCTTGGAGAACACCGGCTTGGCCCTTCAAAAGCAGGCGCGGCCCGATGCAACACAAGCGTTCCGAAGGACAACCACATCGTGCGAGGAAGGTGTGGGCATCGGCTCGTATGATGTGCTGCAGCACTACAGTGTGCTAGGTTCCCGCAAAGCCCAAACACAGACAAACCCGACATCAAGGCGATGACCACATACCACCCACAGAGTGGCGCCAGCTGGCGCACTCCCCAGGTGGCAGAAGGCACTGCACCCGGCTCCCTCCGAGGCCCTTGCCCAAAGCGGGAAGTGGAGGCAGTATCTGCTGTAGCATTTTAATGTCACGACCTGAGAAAAAGGACGAGAGGCCAGAGGGTGGGAAGCTTCCAGATGTTTGGGGCTCCGGCATGGAGGGTCGCCAAACCCAAAACTGTCAAAGTATAACGCACCAAGCTCCTGGCATCTTCTTCTACAACGAAAAGGCTTCTTTGGAAATGTGGTAAGGACGCGGCCAAATAAAGAAGTGCACTTCGGGGGAAGTGTACTGCTGCTTTCCAGATACCTCAAAACATCAAGTCATATTAAGTCGTCTTCACAAGTCTCATACTGTCCTGTGAGTGGTCGTCAGGTGGGCTGCGCACGAGGTTCGTGGTGTGTTCACAGTTGGCCCACAAAATGTTGTAACTGATCTGGTTGTCCTTAAGAGACAGCTAAGACAAGCAGCGGAACTTGGCACGAGCACGAGTGCCAAGCAATCAAGTTCACAGCATCACGGACGATCCGCTCGCGGTCCCTGGCTGTGTCGAAGTTGCCATTGCAACAGGCGAGTTTGCTGGGCATTGCCGGGCATTGCTGGGCTGCGAGCAGTTCAGTGAGCTTCTCCTGAGGCGTGCTTCCGGTTCAGCACGAGACTTCGAGAGACTTGAGCGTCCTCCATCCGAAAGATGTGCGGCATGTCGCCATAATCCGCCAGCGGCACCTTGTGACAGTGGGCCTCCGCGGCAACGAGCGAGAGACATCTTTTTGGCCTTAAAGCTTTCGCTTTTTGGGCGCGGTTCCTTGTGGAGCAGCGTCTGAAGCACGATCCGGGGGAGCGAGCACCAGGCCCCGAAGGCTTTCACACCTCGACGCCATAGTCAAAGGGGGGGGGGACCTGTCCTTCGACTCTTCGCCTTTTCGCTTCGCTGCCCATTTTAAGGCTTTGGCGGACTTCTTCGATGAAGCCTCCGACTGCGACTCTCTCCGCGGCAGAAGACTCTGCCGCGCCGCCGCGGAACCCTCGCGCGCGCCTTCGACCGTGTTCGAGTACTCCATAATGCTCACGATCTCATCCTTCAGAGCACCCCCGGTCTGTGCAAATCCCTGCTGGCTCTGCCACTGGCTCTGCCGCTCCTGCTCAGTTCTTGGAACCCCGAACTCGTCCACGAAAGCCACCTGGGCCCGAGGCGACGCCCCGACGAGATGAAGAAAGATGTCTCCGGACAAAAATGGAGCCGGACATCATCGAGGATGACCTCAAAGGTCGCTCAGCACCGTGCAGGACGCTCCGTTCGAGGGTATCGCCCCGGTTTATGAACTCACATAAAACGTGCTTGAGTTCCGTCTCCTCCCATACAAGCTCTGTCCCCTTTAGTTGACGGCTTTGGAGGCTTGCACTCCCGTTTGGTTTTCGGTAACCTGCTAGCGTTCGGTAGCGTTCAGCGTCCGGCCTTTAGAGTGAGTGTGTCATAGAGCAGAGTCAGCACAAGCGAACAGCCGCCGAGCAACGAAGTGGTGGTAGAGGTGGAAGAGCTCCAGCGAACCCATCAAACTCACCTGAGCCCAGACAAAAGCAATTCGGAGTTTCAAGGCTTCCCCGCTTTTTGGCCTTGCTCTGTCGAGTGTGTGCGGCTTGGGCGCCAGATAGTCCACCCAGGGGCTCAGGCACCGCAGCACGTTCAAGGTGATCATGCAGTGGTCCCCACCTCTCCGCGGAGGGCGGCGCGTGGGGCGCGGAGTGCGGCGGCGCGGAGAGCTTTAAAAGGGTGGCTCTTTAGAGCCCCCGGCGTCGGAGCTGAGTCACGGCGGCCACCTCTCGGAAGACCGACTTCCTCAGCAGAAGACGGAATCCCACCCCCGTCACCCCCCTCCCCTTCTGATCCGCTATTCTCCGCCTCCTTCTCCTGGGCTCCGAGCTGATCCACGTAAATCCGTGGCCTCGGCTCTCACGGCTCCGCAAGGGCCCGTTCTCTCCACTTCTCTGCTCTCCCGCCCGTCTGCTGCACACGAACTTTCTACGCGTCGGCCCCGGGCGGTCGAGTGAGAGGCTGCTCCGCACCTCCAACAGGACTCTCAATTTTGCCCGCGGCGCTCCGCTGAGGCGCTGCGGGGGGGCCGAGCTGCGCACACCAGAAGGGCTTGCGTGAGCGGGACAGGTAGTGGTGGATGGGCCTCGCTGCAAAGCTGGGCCCGCGGGTGCAGGGCCCGCGGTGAGGGTTTTAGGAGAGTCTACTGGCATGGTGCGGTCTTTTGGGCTTCGACGATAGGATCTTCTTCGGCTTCACTTTGGAGCCTGGCCTCAGACGGAATGCAGAGAGAATTCCACGCGCAGGAGGCGCTTCTACTGAAAGAACTGCAACTTATAACTGCCCATGCCGAGCATCGGAGGTTCGAAGCTGCGGGGTGGTGGGACGCCCGTCATCACGCCAAGAGGTCCTCACGTCGCCTCACGTCGCGTGCTTAGCTTCACTTCGCCGCCCACAGCCGCTCACCTCCCGTCTTCACACCAGCAAGAGACCAAGCGGCGTCCGGACACGCGGCACAAGGACTAACCATGGGCCGAATACATGAGCAATGGAGCCCTGTGCAACGGTGCTGCGCACGACAGGCTGGCTGAGACGAGGAATCACCAGCATTCTAGCGTTGCTGCTAGCTTTGCTTGGGCGTGCTGGACATGAGAGTTCCCCACGTCTTGTCGCTAAACTCGCTAACCGGTCAGAATCGAAAGTAAAACGGCTGCTGGAGGTGCTCACTGAAGGCTACAAGGTTTTGTGAGTGCAAGATATGTCATCGCGTCGCTGTTCGGCCGCAGCTCTTTTGCTCGAGGTCCTTGGAAACACTTCCTGAATCTTCCCCAAGCGACCTGACTCAGCACAAGAAGACTGTCACGGAAACTCTGACTTTAAACGCCAAAGTCGCTGTGCGCGATTCCGTGAGCGCGCCGAGGCGCCTACAGCGCAGCGCCGAGGTCTCACTCTCTCACCTCACCTCAGGTGGGGTAAGCGCGAAGTGGAGAAGGCTGTTTGCTCTTTGAGCTGCCGAGAGGCGCACTTTCCGCACTTTCCGGGCCAAGATGTCATCGCTCCAAACCTCGGCGTCCTTGCCCTTCAGCTGCGAGACGAGCACCTGCCGCTGTGCCGCCAAAGAGCAAGGCCGCGGTCAGTTTTTTTGCGGTCTGCAAAGGAGCCTTTCAAACATCCACAGAGAAGCTCAAGAGCAGCAGTGGCAGCCGGAACAGGAGAAACGACCATTTTCAACCGACCGCGGCAGCATCAGTTGCGGAGACCGCGGCAGCGCGAACACTAGAAACAACAAGACCACCATGGCAGCAAAGAAACACCAGCAGACCCACTAATTGCGAACGTGCACCTTGCCAGGGAACTACAGAAACTACCCCAAAGTAGAAAGTTTGACAGCAGTGGCCTCTACAACAGGGAAGCAACACTGTCGTCCGCCGTCGCCGGCATGGTGAGGGAAGCAAAATATGTTTTCCCCAACATCCAAGCTTTACGGGGCAGGTTCCGAGGCGGGTTCCGGGCAGCTGAAAAACCTCGTTTTTTTTGGCCGAGCACAGGACCCCATTTTTTCCGGAACATTAAAGTGCGAAATTTTCAAAACGGCAGGCGAGGCAACTCGCATTTGTTGCTACTCCGCTACACGTCCTAAAGCAAGACAGGTCCAGTTTGTCAAGACATTTGTCTTCCCAACGGGGTATAAAAGACTCCGCTGGCCAGGCCACGCGGCTCGCACTTGTTGCTGCTCCGCAAGACGTCTTAAGACAAGAAAGGTCCAGTAGATCCGAACTTTTGTCTTCCCGATGCCTCACAGTGACCTACCTCTTTTGCCCAACAGATAGAGCTTTGGGGGTCGGCCGAAATCAAGTTGGCAGAGGGCAGGGTCAGGTTGCTTCTGACAAGCTTTTCGGTCTTCAGCCGCAAGGTAAGGTTGAATGGTGTCCCGAGCGAGGTCGTTCGAACCCCAAGGTTTGAGAGTGTGAAAGCTTCAGTTATCTTGAAGTTTGAGAGTTTCTGAAGCTTCGAACAAGGGCGCTGGAGTTCGAACGTTTGGGCACCTCGGTCTGCGCAAAAAGGAGCGGGGGCGTGAAAGCTCGAACTTTTTTCAAACAAAAAATTTCGATCTCGACGAGCTGCCTCAAACTCAACCGCCTGACTCTTTTTTGGCCGCGGTCGGGTTTTCCATCGGCTCTCAAAGTTTCAATCAGTTGGAATAAATTGACAATTCGAAGGCTCGGAGCGTTTCGAGGGTTTCGAGATTGAAAGTTCGACCGTTTCAACGTTCTAAACTTCGAAAGTTTGTGAAGTTGGCTTCAGGTTCGGTCTGCGGCGAGCCATTGAGGTCGAGATTTCGAAAGTTTGAGAGTTTCAAACCGAAGATTGAACGGCATGACAGTTCGCGAGTTTGAGAGTTCGAGTCAGTTCGAGGGTTTGGAAGTTTCAAAACTTTGAAGCTGCAAAACGCGTCGTCCGCTGACTGTCGAATTCGAAGGATTGATAAAAGCCGACTTGCAGTCGCATGAATGTTGCTCACAAGCGGTTTCGCAGTTGGCTGATGTTCTGGGAGCTCTGGAGACGTGGCATCTTGGTGCTTCTTGGTCTTCGATTGCAGATTGCGGGGCGTAGAGTTTTCGTGTTTAAGCCTTGGTGTGTATACACCTTAATGACGTTCCGAATGCATCTCAATCTAGAGCTGTATCCCAGGCCCCACTCGCGGGCAAATTGAGCTCCCGAAGATGTATTTTCCAAGGCCCGCTCAAGGCCTTCGATGCTAGTTTCAGCAAAACCGAAGTGAATGCCATCCCACGCGGCCGGGCATTGACAACCCATCTACGGCTCAATAGGAGTTTTTTTAATGCTCTCGTTTTGCTCTTTGGGAAGTCATGACATGTTTCAGTTGAAGTGTTGACTCATTTACCGGTGGACTTGCCAGCAGACCTGGGCCTTCGATAGGCGAGTACCGTCGAGCTGCTCAAGCACGGGAGCGCGGGGGACTGCACTGCCGACTGCTGCTCCTTCGAGGCCTCAACTGAAAAAGCGGTTCGCGCTCGCGCGGAGGGGTTTGGGGGCGACCCCTACTGGTAAACTGAAAGCAAAACAGAGTTTACGGAGCGTCCGAGGCCGCCTGGCAGCTGCGCGCGCTCTCTCTCTCTCTCCCTCTGTCCCGGGTGCAGCGCTCTCGCTCTCTCTCTCTCTCT